TGACCCAAATAAGATGATGTGCTATTGTTTATACCACACACACATGCATCCAAATTAATCAGTGGGTAAAACCAACAAATTAATTGTAATTTAATTTATTTAAAATTAACTCATTTAAACACTTTTCAAATATTATATCAGCTCGCTTGGTTTAGATTTTCAAGATTTACTTTTCAGAAAATTGAAATTTTTCGTTTTTCATATTTTTTTTGTTTTCACTGAATTTTTTTTTTAATATTCTAAGCAATTTTATAATTTTTAGATACACCTAACATAAATATACTTAAAAAGTAAATTATTTGTGAAAAAAAATCTTTAAAAAATTCACTAAATACCAAAAATATAAAAAAAAATACGAAATTCAATACATTTTGCGTATTCTTGTGTATTTATTTATTTTTAAAATATCTTTTTACAAATATATTATTTTTTAGATACATCTAAGTAAGGTGCATCTAAAAAAAAAAATTTGGTCAAAAGTTTAACAATATTCACTAAAAATAAAAAAATACGAAAAATAAAAAATTAATTTTGTAAAAATTGAATTCAAAATATTGAAATCAAACACACTGATTAGATTTTTTTGGTTTATCTTAAACTTGATTGGATAATGAACTATGTACAAGCTTTTGCTCCTTCAAACGTCGTCTTTCAATCACCTGAAAACACAAACGTGAGCTAGCTGGCGAGTGTGTGTCAGAAATCCCTTCAATGCCTAAGTTAGCAAGTTGAAAAAAGACAGAAAGCTTTGTGAATTTGGGAATAAGAATTGCAATAACTCAAAATAGGTTCTGTCATGATCTTTTATAGATTTCGCGTAGCACAATCCTAATAGGACTTTACCTCTCTTAACAGAGTCCTCCTAGGAATCACATTCATAAAGGATAATGGTTATTCTTAGAACACCCTCTTCACTGCAAGCCAAGTGAGATGGCAATATCTTATTTGGCTGTTGATACTCAACCGAGCTACTTCGCTCCACTCTTTCTCTGGCTGAACTGTGCAAACAACCAAGTGATGGTCTGCCAAGCTAAGTCTAGCTCAGCCTTCTTCACCGAAGCCATCTCTTTCTTTGGTTAATTCACTAATAGTTACTTCTATAGTATACACCATTTTTGGATATGTATCACTAGTAGCAACCCGTGCTATGCACAACATGTAAAAAAATTAATAATATATTTTTACACAAAATAATATAAAAAGTTAAATTTTTGTATGCAAATTTTGAAAACAAAGAAAATTAAAATTTACAATTTAAGTTCCATAATTTTATCACAATTTATTTATTATTTTTTAATTTGTTACAAATTTAATCATGTAACTTTCAATCTCTTGCTAGAATTGCAAACTTAGGTGAACTCAATCCAAACAACTTAAGTTGAGCTTAATTTTTTTTAAAGATTGAACAATATAGTTTTTAATTAAGTGAGAACCTATGTAGAAATTCAAAAATTCAAATTAAATTTGAGTGAACTTGGGTAGAAACACCAAATAACCTGAGCAACCAAAACAAAATTACATATATAAATATATAAATTATTTGTTAATTTATTTTTTAAAATAATAAATAAAAATAATTAAAAGTTTAATATTAATGAACAAAAAAAAAAGCAATATGCTTAAGATTTCCAATAAAAAAAAATTTGAAAATATTTAAAAAATACACCTTTTAAAAAGGGATCATCGAATAAAGGGTTGTTTGGGAATTGTCATATTAGCTCACTTTTTTATCTTTTTATCTTTTTTGGGTGACATCGCATCTCTATTTTTCTACACATCTTTTTGTAAAAAGTGAAAAAAATATATATTTAATTATCTTTTTTTTTTGTAAAAAGTAAAAAAGTATAGTTATTTAGCACTTCCGAAACTACCAGTAAGTTGATATTAAAAAAATTTACTTTTTATAATGGCATAAATAATTTATATATGATTTTTTTGAAATTATTTTTAATTTAATAAAATATTAAATAGAATAAAACAAATTTCTTACAAAATAAAAGTATTTGAATAAAAAAAGGTAAGAAGAAAATTTAATATGGTATTTTTATTTAATCTAAAAATGATTCTAGATGAATAATAAATTATCACCTATAACTTCTTTTTTTTAAAAAATAAAATAAAATAAAAAAGTTTAACAAACTATCACTTTTAATAAAAAGAATTAACGTTTCTTTCTAATTTATTTTAGCAAAAGTAACTTTTTAACAATTTGAGCCAAAGATATCTTTATTCTTTATTTTAATTTTTTTAATTCACAATTGAGATTTTTTAAAAAAAATCTATCAAAATCTACCATGTTTGGCAAGTGCTAAAAAAGTTATGTTTTGTTCTTTTGTTAAAAAAAAAAATTATATTAAACAATATTATTATTCAAGTCCTTATAGTTTAGAAGGATATAATTTTTTTTTTATAAAATTTAAAACGAAAAAGGAAAAAAAATTAATAGCGATTAATAATTTGAGCACATGTATTTAAAACAAATTATATTTGGACCAATAGTATTATGACACATGTGAATATTGATCTCATTCTAATTGTAGTAATATAATTCGAAGAAGAATTTTAATTTGAAATTTTATTTTATAATTTAATAAAGGATGCAAAATTTAAGGAATGAATATTTGATCTCATTCCAATTATAATAATATAATTTAAGTAAGAATCCAAGTTTGAAATTTTATTTTAAAAATATAAAATTAATTTATCGACCAATCATATTGTAACAGGTATTAACAAAAAATTAAACAAAATAAAAAAAATGAGAAAAAATAATTATAACTTTCAACTTTAATGAAATGACAATATTTTGCAACTATAATAATATATAGATATATAGATAAATCATGGAATAAATCATTACTTAAAATTTATATATTATGGGATAAATCATTTTAATTTTAAATTTAAATTTAAATTAATGGAATGTTTTCCATTTTTAGTTCTCCTCAAATTTGAATTTTGAAATGGATTAGTATACTTTCTATTTTTTATTTTATATATTTGATATACTTTTCATTTGAAAGTCATAAATTAGGAGATATTAATTTATTTTTTATTTTATTTTATTTTGTTTTGTTTTGCTTGAATGAGAGCTGTAGAGAATTTTAATTTGAGATATTGAAACTCTTACAAGATTTGTGGTTAGAAAGCCTATTTTACTTATATAATATATAGATATATAGATAAATTTAATAAGAATTTATATTTGTTTTAGATTTTTTTTAATATACAAATTATTGTTTTTATATTTTTTATAAAAATAATTTCATAATTTTATCACTAACCATAATGTATGGGAGAAGTTGAAAAATGTATAGCAGTAGATATGGAGAAGTAAAAAAAAAAACTCGTGGGTTAGAAGAAATCAATAAATGCTGAGTTTTTTTTTTTAATAAAAAAATTAGAAAATTAAGAGTGAGATATTGGAGTTCCACGAGGCTTGTGGGTTAGAAACTCCATTCTCCTTATATAATATATAAATATGCCTCACTTATGATTTGTTATTGTCTTAGGCTTCGTTTGGGAAGTGGATTGACTTTTTGACTTTTTTGATTTTTTTGATTTTTTTGTGAGAGAAAGAATGTAATGATTATGGGTTGGATGTGATATTTTGTCTTATTGGGTTAAAAAATCTATTTTATTTTTTTGTGGCTATTTTAGCCAAAAAAAAGCCACAAAACCTTTTCCCCAAACATATTAGATCTAATTGTGATATTCATTATAATCTATTGTGATTATTTTTAATTATGATCGATATTTGATTAGGCTCATTTTTTAAAGTTATGATTAAAAATAATTTAGGTATGACATTTGTGATAATAAACACAACGAATGTCATAACTTGTTGGGTAAATTACAAATACATTTTTTCGAGGTTTGCTTAAAACACAGATTACCTCATGTGGTTTAAAAAATTACAAAGATTTCCTTATTAGAAATTTTTTATTTAACAAAATTAATTAAAAAAATAAAATTCATAATTATTCTCATATACAATAATAAAATTACCTAAATTATTAATTGAAACATATTTTTAACATCATTAAAAATTATTAATTGACTTAATGACTTATTAATAAAAGTGGCGATTTGTTATGAAATTAGAAACCTCAGGAGGTGAAATGTAATTTTCAAAACCACAGCGAAGGATTCGTATTTTAATCAAATTTCAGGGAGTATATTTGTAATTTACCCTAACTTGTTATAAATTTGATAAAAATGAAAATTTAGAGAAAAAATTGAGGAATAAATAATAGTTTAGTGAATAAAAAATTAACAATCTTTAATCATATGTACTCATAATTATGTTATTTTTTTGTTTAGTTATGATCAATTTTTTTTTTAATTATGATATTTTTTTAATTATAACTTATGAATTGTTTAATTATATCTCCTTTTATATTTAATTATAATAATTTTTTTAATTATGTCTAAAAAATTAAAAGTATACCATTTTTTTTTAATCCATCACTTGTTTTTGTTAATTAATTAATTAATTTTTTAATAGTCTTAGACCCCTGTCCATAATGAAAGTCTAATCCAAATTAAAAATAGGGTAAATTATGTAAATAGTCCCCATAGTTTACATGATGTGTTAATTTGTTCTTTATAGTTTTAATTTGTTCGATTTTGTCCCTTAATTTAATGGATTGTGTCATTTTAATCCAATAAATAACTGTTGTTAAATTAATTTAATGAAAGGTCAAACAATATGTCAATTTAGTCCATATATTTTATATGATGTGTCAATTTGATCCTTTATAGTTTCAATTTTCTAGATTTTGACAGGGACTAAATCGACATATTGTAAAAAATATAGAAATTAAATTGACACATTATTTAATTTTTCATTAAATAACTTACTAATAATTATTTATTAAACTAGAATGATACAATTCGTTAAATTAAGAAACAAGGTCAAACAAATTAAAGCCAAATTGACATATCGCGTAAATGACCGGACTATTTGCGTAATATTCTCTTAAAAATATGCATATATATCAAATCGCATCATTCTGTTAGATTCTCTTCTCTCTCACCATCAGACCCGGAAAACCAGAAGAGAGAGAGAGGGAGACAACTTTCTTCCGTTTTCCGGCAATGGACATTTACTCTGGCCGATTCGTCCTTATCCTCATTCTGAGCTTCATATCCAAATCCTCTTCTCAATCCATCATCCAAATCTCGCCGGAAAAGTACCACAAATCCTCCGCCGCCGATCTGATCTACTGCGACAGCTGGCGGTTCTCCGTCGAAACCAACGACGCCGGAATCTGGACTCAGGTCCCTTCCAGGTGCCAAGACTACGTCCACGATTACATCACCGGCGTTCGCTACCGTTCCGACTCCGAGATGGTCGCCTTAAACGCGCTGGAGTTTGCCAAGACGGTGGAGTTCGCCGGAAACGGCAAGGACGCCTGGGTTTTCGATATCGATGAGACTTTGCTTTCTAACCTACCGTACTACGCGCTCCACGGATTCGGGTGAGTCTGAAAAGTTTTTTAGCTTTTTGATTGGTTGAATATATTATATTAATAGAATTTTTTTATGTCCAATGAAATTTGAACACGTGGTGTAGGTTTTGATCAATTGGTTGGTACTAATGGTGAGCTATGTGAATTATGAAAAAAAAAAAAAAAAAGCAAAATACTGTTTGAAATTTTAAATTTTTATTAAATTCTTTATCAACCTGAAATTCAAATCATGTAAATTCAAACGTCTATATAAAATATTTTGTGAAAAATTTAATAAATTTTTCGAATCTTTTAACATTACTCAGTATGAAATGGAACCAGGTTGGTTATCATGCAGTGGTCACATGGTGGAAAGCCAGTTGTCCTATTGCTAGTGTTTTAAAAAGTTGGTAAAAATTTAATTTTTTTGACGAAAGGTTAGGCTTTTTGGTAAAAAAATTGATTTTTTTTGGTTAAAAAAGTTAAAAAATGTTGCCAAAATGCCCATGTGTGTTTTTGACCCTATGATTCCTTTGGGTTTTCTTTTGTTTTGCCTTTCGAAATAAGGGTATTTTAGGATTCATCTCTCCTCCACTTTTTTCTCAATCTAAGCCGTCCATTTCATAGATTTCATAATAAAGTTATTCTTATGTTATTTTAAAAAATAGATTAAAAATTAATTTTAAAAATATTTTTACTTCTTTTAAAAAAATATATTAAAAAATAATAAAAAAAATTTTACTCAAAATATATTAAAACTCAAAAGAGGTCAAAAAATTAGATTGGGTAATTATACTGACACTCCCTGATATTTAGGCCAAGTTTGGGAAGACTAAATAAGTGTACTTTTTGGCTTTTTATGAAATATGGGTTCGATTTGGGTTGGGTTTGAAGTGATGTGTTAGAGAGGTGATGTGACTTAAATAAGATGATGTGACTTAAATAGGATAGCGACTTTTTGACTTTTTGGATTTTTTGAAGGATGCCAAACTTGGCCTTATGTTTATTACAGTTCCTCCCTCACTTTTTGGAAATTACATCTCTCTTTAAGGTTTAAAGTTTCATTACAGATTCCTCCTTTAGCAATTTAATTTTTTTAAATACCAAATTTGCCCTTATTGGGTAAATTACATTAACACCCCTCACATTTTAGAAATTACAATCCCCTCCCTAAGGTTTAAAGTAGCATTACCAATTACCCCTCAATTAGTATTAGTTGAAAAAAAAATTCATTGAAAAAAAATTAATAAAAAATTATTTTTGTTAGTAATTTTTTTAAATTTTTGTTTAAAAACCAACGTAAATTCATTATTTGAATTTATGTTTTTTTCTCAAATTTACAAACAGAGACAACCATTTATAAACCAAAAAAATTATCAAACAAGTTTTTATGACTTTTTAAAATTTTTGTAAATATAAATTGAAAACTGAAAACTGAAAACGAAATGGTTACCAAACATGCCTCAAATGGTAAAAATGTCATAAAATTAACAAATAATTAAATAAGTTACGAACGTAAAAAATGACTTACCAACGTAAGAATCTTTTTACGTTGGTAACTTATTTAATTTTTTGTTAATTTTATGACATTTTTACCATCTGAGGTTTGTTTGGTAACCATTTCATTTTCAGTTTTCAATTTATATTTACAAAAATTTTAAAAAGTGTTACAAAAATTTAAAAATTTTACTAACAATTTTTTTTTCAAATAATTTTTTTTTTAAATAATTTTTTTTCCAATTAATTTTTTTTTCAATGAATTTTTTTTCCAACTAATACTAACCGAGGGGATAATTGGTAATGCTATTTTAAACCTTAGGGAGGAGATTGTAATTTTTATAATGTGAGGGGTGTCAATGTAATTTACCCAATAAGGGAAAAATTGGTATTTAAAAAAATTAAATTGTTGAGGGAGAATCTATAATGAAACTTTAAACCTCAGGGGGAGATGTAATTTCCAAAATGTGAGGGAAGAATTGTAATAAACATAAATCTCAGGAGGTGTCAGTGTAATTTACCCAATTAGATTTAACTATAAACCCAAAAACAAATTACGTTTTATTTTACAAAATGAATGGTTTAAGTTTACAATCCTATTTGCTATTTATTTTATAAAACAAAATGTAATTTGTTCTTATATTTATAATTTTCCGATGAAATTGATTTTTTATATAGATGACTTTTATTATGGAATATACAAATAGATGGTTCGGATTATCGATGTGAGTCTGAATTTGAGCCTACAAGAAGCGTATGGATGAGCATGAAAAGATACAAGAATGGAGGGGGACCTTATCCCATTTTCGGGTTGTTTTGGAAAGTATTAAAAAAATGCATTTTTTTTTAATGAAAAAATGTACAAAAAGTGAATAGGTGATGAGTCCCAAATATGCCTAAAAGTCAATATGCTGATTTTTTTTTTTTTTGTTCTTTTTCTTTTGCACTTTTCAAAATAAAAATTGTGCCCAAGGTGTGTGTGTTAATGTCCGACCACACTGCCAATCAAGCTCTCAGCTGGAGAACACTAGCAGAATAGATTAAGTCCGAACGACCTGTCACAAAAAGAAGAGATTCTGGCGATGGTTCGTCTAACCTGGGGCACTCCGACGATCAAGTCAGTTATTTCTCAAAGATAGCAAAAGTGTTTAACTCACAATTTAGAGCATAAAAAACATACCTTAGACCCATGGGGGTGCCTCTCTTTTATAGCCAACACTTACCTAATCCCAATAAAAGCCCAGCTTCAATGGACTTAAGATTACTGCTAATCTTGGACTCCCAGTAGGATTGGGATAAACTCTCTAAGAGTCTTCTCTTTATCCAAACTGAAGTCTTCTCTCATTCTAGGACTCTTGTCCCTTATCCCGGATTCCGGTTTCTTCGCAGATAACCTCGGCCTAACCGAGATCATCTCGGTGTCATGACCAAGACACGTGACACCTCGGCTGACACTTCGGTGTCACCTCGGTCACGTGTTGTCATTCAAAAATTATGTCCCCACAACTGCCCCCCAGGTTCTATTACCTCGGCATCCTGAGGTGATGGAACCTATATCATTCCTTTCATTTAGCACATCGGCTAAGTTCGCTTTATCCTTCATTACCAAGGTCATCATTTGTCAGCTCAAATATGACCAAGACTTAGTCTGTTTTCATCAATGCCTTAGAACCAAAAAACCAAGTTTTGTTCAAGTTTCACAACCGAGATCGTCCTCCTAGCCGAGGTCCTGCTCCATTAAATTAAGAACTCCAAGAGTTTCATCACGCGTATGAGCTGTCACGCACAGCAACTTAACCGTTTTTGCCACGCGTCTTTCCCCTACTGAGCTGTGCCTGACACGCGCCATTAAGTCGCATCGCACTTGCGTGCGCCGTCTGACAAACACGTCGTCCTAGGCACACTAAATGCGTTTTTGCCGCCATTTCGTGTGTTTGATCAAAATCACTTTTCTCTCTCCGTCTTTTCACTTTTGCATCTTCGTCTTCGTGCAAGCTTTCTCTCTATAACTTTCTCTAGTCCTCCTATTACTTCAAGCTCTAAAGCTCTCTGCAATCACCGCCGTTCATCTCCTCCGGTAAGGTTTTTCCTGATCCTTTCCGTTTGCTGTCATCATCTGACTCTGGCGTACTTAACACCGGCTTCATTTTTCTTTGGTGAGTCACTATTTCCTCCTTTATCAGTCTGTGTTTTTCTTTGTACCTTGTACTTTTTCTTACTTTTTGAAACAATGTAAGCTTTAATTTGGCCGACGTGCCATTTTTGTAATCTAAATAATCATTCTTCAATGTTAGGCCGAGGTACCTTCTTTCCTTATCTGAATGCATATTTAACTTTTTTCCCTTTCAAGTGCTTTGAATGTTTGTCTTCTTTTTATTCTTGCATGATTCTATACTTAGAATAATTTGCATGTCTTCAATGTACACCTTAACTGTGCAACCTCCTCGGGGTGGAATACCTCGGTTAAACCACTATCGGTTTATTTTGGCAAGCACATAGGTACTGCTTTTCAATACAACCTTGGCTTAACTTGTAAATTTTTCTTAAAAATTTCAACAAGTGTTTAAACCAATCTTCCTTTAACATAACCTCGGATCCACTTCAACTTGTAAATTTTTCATAAAATTTCAACAAGTGGTAAACATGATCTCAGTTTAACTTCAACTTGTAAATTTTTCTTAAATTTCAACAAGTGTTAAACATGACCTCAGTTTAACTTTAACTTGTAAATTTTTCTTAAAAATTTCAACAAATGTTAAACATGACCTTAGTTTAATTTCAACTTGTAAATTTTTCTTAAAAATTTCAACATATGTTAAACATGACCTTAGTTTAATTTCAACTTGTAAATTTTTCTTAAAAATTTCAACAAATGTTAAACCGATCTTGTCTTGAAAATTCCAACTCCCAAGCATCATTCTCCAGCCCTCTGCCCCCTAATGTGAACTTAAGTTCCACTTGGGTTCTCATTAAGCATGTGGCTCTGACCTCGTTGCCGAAGTCTATATTTAAACAGATACTAGCCGATGTTCTCAACCTTGGTTCTTTTGTTAATCTTACCCAAGTGCACTTAGTTTCAATCTGTGTTTGACTCTGCCGATATGGCAAGTCCAGGTTAATTTAACTTAGTTCAACTCTATTATATGCAAGTAGGGATTCTACCCTTAATGGCTGTAGTTTGTTTGTCACAAACCTGGCTACAAACATCTCGGCCAGGCCTTCCCAGGTTTTCACAGCTCCTTTCGACAACTTGTGAAACCAGTCTGATGCAATTTCCCCAAAGGACGAGGGCAACACCTTGTAGAGCAACGGCTCGTTCCCGGTGTACAATGCCATCGAGTTTAGGTACAAGCCGACGTGAAAGTTCGGGTTCGACTTACCGTCGTATATCTGAAATCTCGGCATGTGGAACCTTTTCGGGGCCTCAAATTTGTCCAACTCTACCGAGAACAGTGTCCTCGGCTTGACCGGAGAGGTCACCTCGGCATCTTGTCGCTTTCTCTGGAGGTAATCTCTCAGATCCTCCTTGGTCC